TTTTTAGACCGATGAGCTTTGTAAAAATCGATGCATTTCAGAAGGCGGGGCATACAGGAGAAACAATAATGTACAGTATGTGGAAAATAATGTGTTTTTTTAACTTTAAACCGCATAAACACATTTCATTACACCAAATACACCAAATAATGTTCTTTTTAGCAGCATCATATGACCCCTTTAATTTCAGTTTTGAATGCCATAACATACATTTTAGGGTACCTCATGCTTGACCCTGAGTTCTGAGTGTTTTGTTACAAATCCAGAGTATCTGAGGTACAGCTGCTTAATGACTATAATAAACCAAGTAGCAGTAAGCCGGACAAGACAATATGTGACCCTGGACCACAAAACCAGTAATAAGGGTAAATTTTTCGAAATTGAGATTTATTTGAATTTATAAATTATAATTGAGCTACAAATATACCCCAGCGACTTAAGACTGGTTTTGTGGTCCAGGGTCACATATAATGTAGACTTAATGCCCTATTAAATGGTGCTCACACTATATTATGGTGCAGGTTGTACATCTCTGTTGGGGATGGAGGAAGGTGGAATCGTAGAGTCCCAGTTCTCGGCTTCCTCTGTACACTCTGGCATTCTGGGGCTGCAGCACTGGGGACCAGAGCTTGCACGCCTCAACAACCAGGGCCTTGTCAATGCCTGGAGCGCCGCACCCCAAGACAAGAACCCCTGGATTGAGGTTTGCCAATCAGCCCATTTACTGAAACCACTTTATTTGTGTGTGTGTATATATATATATTTTTATATATATTTTATATATTTGTATATATGCATAAAATGGAAATTGTGACAATTGTAACTTTGATAATGGCAAAAAACACAGATTTGAAAGAGAAACTAATAGAATTGATGATAAACGTTTTATTAAAAATTTTAACGTTAAGAAAATGTTAAAACCAGGTTGATATTTGATAAAGGATAATACAAAAACAAACATAAATTATATAATTCTCTATAGAGGCTGCAGTGTTGCATCCATATTCACTAAACTCATATCCATTCAGATGCTACATACTGTAAACGTAAGTAAAACAATTCCTCATAACATGACTGCAAGTGTTTTAAAATGTTTAAAACATCCATGTTAGTGGTGTGGATGTTTTTTAAAGGCCATTTCTGGTGCACCATACCAGAAAAAGTATTTTAAAAACATGTTTTTATTGTAATTTTATTCAAAGTAATCACTCAATTTTATTGCCATCCTGTATGCATCATGTGCTTGGCCCATTCGCACCAAGAACAATAACAATAAAGATAACCATTTCAACATCCACAGCCACACCAATGGATGATAAATGTTCTGTTTATTCTAAGCGTGTGCTACAGTTATGTCGTCTGCCGCTTTAAATGCTCAAGCTCTTTAACACTGGCTTGGATTGGTTGTCAATGTTCTGAAAATGATTCCTATCATTCCTCTGTGCTATTATTGTTATAGTTGTGGTGTGAACTTTCCTATTCTCATAGAAATCACGCATAAGAGGTACAAAATAGGACACAGTGATTCAGTTTCTTTTTGTGTACATCTGAAAAGATGTTCACACTTCCTGTCCATGATTTTCTCGTTTTAGGTTAACATGCAGAAGAAGATGCGCCTCACTGGAATCATAACACAAGGAGCCAGCCGCATGGGGACAGCCGTGTTTGTTAAGACTTTCAAGGTTGCATCCAGCTTTGATGGCAAATCATACACAGTGTACAGAGCAGATGGCCAGAGAAGAGGCAAAGTAAGAAACATTACAAATCTTGTCTTCCTTTTGTGTTAAAGGGATAGTTCACCCAAAAATCTAAATTCTGTCACTCTCATGAGGTTCCAAACCCACAAGTCCTTCGGAACACAAATTAAGATTTTTTGGATGAAATCCGAGAGCTTTCTGACCCTGCGTTAACAGCAACACAGCTGACACGTTCAAGCCCCAGGAAGGTAGTAAGGATATTGTTAAAATAGTCCATGTGACATCAGTGGTTCAACCTTAATATTATGACGCTACCAGAATACTTTTTGGTGGTACTCTCGTGAACACGCATCAAACACGGAAGAGAAGAAATTGTTGAATAAAGTCGTTATTTTAGTTTTCTTTGCACACAAAAAGTATTACCATAGCCTCATAAAATTACGGTTGAAGCACTGATGTCACATGGACTCTTTTAACGATGTCCTTACTTACTTTTCTGGGCCTTGACCGTGGTAGTTGCATTGCTGTCTATGCAGGATCAGAGAGCTCTCGGATTTCATCTAAAATATCTTAATTTGTGTTCCAGAGTTGAACAAAGGTCTTATGGGTTTAGAACTAAATGAGGGTGAATAATTAATGACAGAATTTTCATTTTTGGATGAACTATCCCTTTAAAGTCTTCCTGATGTGCTAAAAGCTATTGTTTATCCTTATGACTCTTTTTTTAATTTTTTTTTCAGGTATTTGTGGGAAATGCAGATAACGATGGAACTAAGACAAACATGTTTGACCTTCCCATTGTGGCCCAGTATATTCGCATTATTCCTGTGGTGTGCCGTAAAGCTTGTACTCTCCGGATGGAACTTGTGGGCTGTGAACTTAACGGTAATTTCAGTTGAATTAACTATGAATATAATCAGGGTCGTCTTATATTCGGGCCAATACGGTAATATATATAATTTTTTTTTTTTTTTTACTTATTCTTAGCCATTTAGCACTCTCATTTTCCCTAACATGACAGTGCACTCCAGCACAATTGGTTGCACCGATCCGCTGGGCATGAAATCCCGTCTCATCTCTGATGTGCAGCTTACAGCATCTAGCAGCTTCCGCACCTGGGGTATAGATGCCTTTACCTGGTATCCCTTCTATGCTCGCCTGGACAAACAAGGCAAGACTAACGCTTGGGCGGCAGCGAACAACAACCGCTCAGAGTGGCTCCAGGTGAGGCTGTGAGATGTTGTCTTCACAAAACTGTCAAAAATAGCCCTTGAAATCATACTAATTCAGTTATGCTATAAAACTATCATAAAATGACATGCATAGATCTATCTAAAGACAACAGCACGCTAACTTAGTAATTTTCACTAACCTATTTTTTAGCTTTGATATCAATTATTTTAATTGTCTCTTATGTTTTAATGTGTTTTCTCTCATGTCACAGCTGGATTTGGAGAAACCTAAAAGAATCACAGGCATCATCACTCAGGGAGCAAAAGACTTTGGAGTTGTGCAGTTTGTTTCAGCCTTTAAGATTGCATATAGTGATGACGGACAATCTTGGAGCATTGTGAAGGATCAAATAACGAGAACAGATAAGGTTACAGCAATGACAACCTCTTTATTTTAAATATACACTACTGTTCAAAAGCTTGGGGTCAGTAAGGAAGAGATTGTAAGAAAGATTGGTTTAATGTTTTTGAGCATCTAATGCTTGACAAGGCTGATCAAAAATAGAAACTGTAAAAATATTTGATGTAATATTATTGCAATTTAAAATAACTTTTATATTTCAGTATATTTTAAAGTATCATTTATTCCTGGGATCGCAAAGCTGAATTTTCAGCAGTATTCAGTATCATGTGATCCTTCAGAAATCATTCCAATATGCTGATTTGGTGCTGATAATTATCAGTTTGAAAACAGTTTTCAAAACTGTGCTGCTTAATAGTTTTGTTTAAAATGTAATACAATTTTTTTTCAGGATTATTTGCTGAAAACAAAGTTCAAAAGGACATTATTTATTTGAAATATATACTGTATATTTGTAACAATGGGCAAGGATCAAGTTAAAGTATCCTTGCTGAATAAAATTATTCATTTCTTAAAAAAAAAAAACATTCCACCGGGAATGGTTAATTTCTTAGTCTTTTGTTTTGGGTGTAGGGTGCAACATCATAAGGTTTTGTTTACTGGGTACAGTAAATCTCTCTGTATGAACTTAGAGCTCTACACATCGGGATCTGGATACTCAGAGGAAATTAAAGAATTATCAAGCTACTATCTCCGCTTTATATACTTATATATATATATATATATATATATATATATATATAACAAAGGCCTCAAAGCACAGGTCTTACATTCAGTTCTAGTCATTTCATCTGACTAATTGAAATGTTTTTTCCTGCAGATTTTCCAAGGCAACATAGACAACAACACACACAAAAAGAATTTGTTTGAGCCTCCGTTCTTTGCTCGATTTGTGCGGTTTCTGCCCTGGGAGTGGCATGAGCGGATAACTGTACGCATGGAGCTGCTGGGCTGTGATGATTAGCGGACATGCTGAAGGCTGCACACTGCCTCTCTCTGCACTACTTTCACCTGAAGTGTTTCTGCTGGTTGTAGGTGATGTTTCGTTTCAGTATACATTAGCCTCATCTGTAATGCTTTGTATTTTATTGTATCAATGTCACTATTTTGATGTTGTTTGAAAAGCTCAGTTGATCTGGTTGATCTCACCCAAAAGGATACTTTGAAGAATGTTGGTAACCAAACAGTTGAGAGTAGCCATTGACGTTCATAGTATTTGTTGCCATACTATGGAAGTCAATGGCAACAGTTGGGTTACCAACATTCTTCTAAATATCTTCTTTTGTGTTCAGCAGCTTAAAGAAACTAATACAGGTTTAGAATAACTTGAGAAATTTCATTTTTGGGTGTCAGAGAATATGTGACCCTGGACCACAAAACCAGTCTTAAGTCGCTGGGGTATATTTGTAGCAATAAAATATTGTCCTGTCCTAACAAACTTACATCAATGGAAAGCTTATTTATTCAGCTTTCAGGTGGTGTATAAATCTATCGAAATATTGACACTTAAGATTGGTTTTGTGGTCCAGGGTCACATATTACAAAATCTGAAGAACCGTTAACCTGCAACGAAAAATTAGGCTGATTCAAATTTTTAAAAGTGACGTGACATGTGGCCAAGTATGGTGACCCATACTCGGAATTAGTGCTCTGCATTTAACCCATCCAAAGTGCACACACACAGCAGTGAACACACACACACTGTGAACACACACCCGGAGCAGTGGGCAGCCATTTATGCTGCGGTGCCCGGGGAGCAGTTGGGGGTTCGGTGCCTTGCTCAAGGGCACCTCAGTCGTGGTATTGAAGGTGGGAGAGAGCGCTGTACATTCACTGCCCCCCACCTACAATCCCTGCCGGTACGAGACTCGAACCCACAACCTTGGGTTACGAGTCCGACTCTCTAACCATTAGGCCACGACTTCCCCCAAAAACTTCCCTTACTAAAACTGTAAGTCTCATAACCACTGACCATTCTTGTATTTCAAAATGCAAGTCCTAATTGACAATGAAACATACAAACTCTTTTACTGTTATTCCTCATCTTTGGTGACCAGGTGACTGTCAGAAACTGTGCTGTAAATTAGAAAGGAATTGAAAACACTATTATCCTCCAGGGAATTTCTTAGTTCTCGCTGTAAAGGTTTAATATAAGCACGGTAGAGCTGCTCAATTCAATTGACCTTTTTGCACTGCAGTTGCTCTACACTTTATACTACGGTTTATATATTTTATTACTCAATTTTATTTGTCAACCAAATCGAATTGAATTGTACAATTGTGCAAATATTGAGTATTTTTATCTTTTGTAAAACACAATTGTCTTTAACAATATTAATAAACATGTTAAATATATGTGCTTTTCCTTACATGTGGCATAAACTGAAGAAGAAATTCAATATGTGCTTTGTCAGAAATTAAAATGTGCGTGAGACTAGGTGATTCGTCTTCTAATCTCGTAAAATCCAGAAAGAACTGGCTTCAGTAAATGTTGTGATGAAATGAGGGGTTCTTAGATCTGTAGCTTCAATTTTCCTTCTTTAGGTCAAAAGCATGGGATATGCTGCCACATGAATATCATGTCCCTGGGCTAGTAATAGATTTGTGTTTTATCTTAAAATATTAAATAATATTATCGCAGCAGATATTTTAAGAAACCGTAGTATAATTATAAAAAAGATTTTAAATGCATTTAATATTTAGTTGATGCACATGAAATAAATCATTTGTAAATTTGAATGTGTAGTGCTGTTTTCCAAAGGTAACTGCTTTATTCTGCCATTTGTAGACAACAAATCTACCAGAGAAGATGTCATGCTTCAAATCCACCAGAAGATGGCAGAAGGCTTTAGGCTTCATACTCTATAACAAGGTTCTCTAGGCGACATGGGAGAAACAGGTTAGGGCATCACAAACAGCCTAAAAGGGGTCCATTCAGTCACAGGGAAGTTCATTCCTTCCACTCCACCCAATTAGGCAAACATTATCATCTGTTTAAAAATAAATTTCTAGACTGAATTTCCGTCCTACCTGTACATTGTGAATAACCTCTCTGAGTACTCTTTGCCCTTCATTCCTGCTCTGTATGACAGACTACCAGCCAACAAACAAATCAGTCCTGTATTAAACATGATGTATGGAATGTTTTAATGGCACGTTGTTGCATTTGCTGTAATACAGGTATTCAAACACAAAGTTCATCTGAAGACATTCATGGATAAATTGAAATTCTCCTACTATAAGACAACAGATTATCACAATGACAGTATCGTCTCATATTTTCCCAGGTTTTCACTGTTGACTGGTCACTCATCCATCTCAATTCAAGAAATGATAGGTTTTCTATGCCACAGAGTATCAAACCGCTTGCAATTCATGAGAAAAAAAATGCTTTTCAAGAAATATTTGTGCATCTGCAGTTCATGCTGCATTCGTCATTTCAGCTGTATTAGATGAAAATAAAGCTATGCTGTATAAAAGATAGCTCCCGCTGCCTTTGGGATGAAAGGGGCACAGCCTCTTGTACTAAGTAAGCAGTCTCATCACAGAAACAGGCAAAATGTAAAATATTCACAAGGCACTTGTCATTAATAGTTCTATCTGAACTATTGTTATAAAATAAAAGCTGTTAGCTGATCCAGGGTCATTCTTGTCCCCATGTAGTACTATGCCCTGCACAGTCTTGGGCGACAGATAACATCTAACAAACAAGTACATTTTCATTTTTGGGTTTACATTCCTAATCTGACTGGATTTGGCCATCTCTGTCTGATGTTCTTTAAAGGAATAGTTCACTTGAAAATGAAAATTTGTTCACTTCCAGGCCAAGTTTGTTTCTTCATCGGAACAGATTTGGTAAAATTCAGGATTTAATCAATTGCTCGCCAATGGATCCTCTGCAGTGAATGGGTGCCGTCAGAATGAGAGTCCAAACAGCTGATAAAAACCTCACAATAATCCAAAAGTAATCCACACGACTCCAGTACATCAATTAATATCTTGTGAAGCATAAAGTTGTGTGTTTGTTATAAACACATTAAGTTGTTTATCATTAAGGTGTTTTTTTTAACTGCAAACAAGTCCTCAATCCATAATATTGTTTTCTCCAGTGAAAAAGTAATCTTGTCTGAATCAGGAGAGAAATATGCACAGATCAAGCACTGTTCATAAGCCAAAACGGTTCTAAACAAGTATGCTGGTGGATTTTCGCTTTGCTTCAAGATGATAATTTATGGACTGGAGTTGTGAGATTTTTATAAGCTGTCTGAACTCTCATTCTGACGGCACCCATTCACTGCAGAGGATCCATCAACCCGCAACCTTGGGTTACGAGTCCGACTCTCTAACCATTAGGCCACGACTTCCCCCAAAAACTTCCCTTACTAAAACTGTAAGTCTCATAACCACTGACCATTCTTGTATTTCAAAATGCAAGTCCTAATTGACAATGAAACATACAAACTCTTTTACTGTTATTCCTCATCTTTGGTGACCAGGTGACTGTCAGAAACTGTGCTGTAAATTAGAAAGGAATTGAAAACACTATTATCCTCCAGGGAATTTCTTAGTTCTCGCTGTAAAGGTTTAATATAAGCACGGTAGAGCTGCTCAATTCAATTGACCTTTTTGCACTGCAGTTGCTCTACACTTTATACTACGGTTTATATATTTTATTACTCAATTTTATTTGTCAACCAAATCGAATTGAATTGTACAATTGTGCAAATATTGAGTATTTTTATCTTTTGTAAAACACAATTGTCTTTAACAATATTAATAAACATGTTAAATATGTGCTTTTCCTTACATGTGGCATAAACTGAAGAAGAAATTCAATATGTGCTTTGTCAGAAATTAAAATGTGCGTGAGACTAGGTGATTCGTCTTCTAATCTCGTAAAATCCAGAAAGAACTGGCTTCAGTAAATGTTGTGATGAAATGAGGGGTTCTTAGATCTGTAGCTTCAATTTTCCTTCTTTAGGTCAAAAGCATGGGATATGCTGCCACATGAATATCATGTCCCTGGGCTAGTAATAGATTTGTGTTTTATCTTAAAATATTAAATAATATTATCGCAGCAGATATTTTAAGAAACCGTAGTATAATTATAAAAAAGATTTTAAATGCATTTAATATTTAGTTGATGCACATGAAATAAATCATTTGTAAATTTGAATGTGTAGTGCTGTTTTCCAAAGGTAACTGCTTTATTCTGCCATTTGTAGACAACAAATCTACCAGAGAAGATGTCATGCTTCAAATCCACCAGAAGATGGCAGAAGGCTTTAGGCTTCATACTCTATAACAAGGTTCTCTAGGCGACATGGGAGAAACAGGTTAGGGCATCACAAACAGCCTAAAAGGGGTCCATTCAGTCACAGGGAAGTTCATTCCTTCCACTCCACCCAATTAGGCAAACATTATCATCTGTTTAAAAATAAATTTCTAGACTGAATTTCCGTCCTACCTGTACATTGTGAATAACCTCTCTGAGTACTCTTTGCCCTTCATTCCTGCTCTGTATGACAGACTACCAGCCAACAAACAAATCAGTCCTGTATTAAACATGATGTATGGAATGTTTTAATGGCACGTTGTTGCATTTGCTGTAATACAGGTATTCAAACACAAAGTTCATCTGAAGACATTCATGGATAAATTGAAATTCTCCTACTATAAGACAACAGATTATCACAATGACAGTATCGTCTCATATTTTCCCAGGTTTTCACTGTTGACTGGTCACTCATCCATCTCAATTCAAGAAATGATAGGTTTTCTATGCCACAGAGTATCAAACCGCTTGCAATTCATGAGAAAAAAAATGCTTTTCAAGAAATATTTGTGCATCTGCAGTTCATGTCATTTCAGTCATTTCAGCTGTATTAGATGAAAATAAAGCTATGCTGTATAAAAGATAGCTCCCGCTGCGAAAGGGGCAAAAGGGGCACAGCCTCTTGTACTAAGTAAGCAGTCTCATCACAGAAACAGGCAAAATGTAAAATATTCACAAGGCACTTGTCATTAATAGTTCTATCTGAACTATTGTTATAAAATAAAAGCTGTTAGCTGATCCAGGGTCATTCTTGTCCCCATGTAGTACTATGCCCTGCACAGTCTTGGGCGACAGATAACATCTAACAAACAAGTACATTTTCATTTTTGGGTTTACATTCCTAATCTGACTGGATTTGGCCATCTCTGTCTGATGTTCTTTAAAGGAATAGTTCACTTGAAAATGAAAATTTGTTCACTTCCAGGCCAAGTTTGTTTCTTCATCGGAACAGATTTGGTAAAATTCAGGATTTAATCAATTGCTCGCCAATGGATCCTCTGCAGTGAATGGGTGCCGTCAGAATGAGAGTCCAAACAGCTGATAAAAACCTCACAATAATCCAAAAGTAATCCACACGACTCCAGTACATCAATTAATATCTTGTGAAGCATAAAGTTGTGTGTTTGTTATAAACACATTAAGTTGTTTATCATTAAGGTGTTTTTTTTAACTGCAAACAAGTCCTCAATCCATAATATTGTTTTCTCCAGTGAAAAAGTAATCTTGTCTGAATCAGGAGAGAAATATGCACAGATCAAGCACTGTTCATAAGCCAAAACGGTTCTAAACAAGTATGCTGGTGGATTTTCGCTTTGCTTCAAGATGATAATTTATGGACTGGAGTTGTGAGATTTTTATAAGCTGTCTGAACTCTCATTCTGACGGCACCCATTCACTGCAGAGGATCCATCAGTGAGCCAGGATGTAATGCTAAATTTGTCCAAATCTGTTCCTCCAATGGAGAAACAAACTCATATACATCATGGATGGCCTGAGGGTGAGTAAATTTTAATTTGTTTAATTTGTTTGTTTAATTTTGAAAAATTTTCTTTTTTGGGTGAACTATTCCTTTAATTACATACGGCTTTTGTGAGGAAAAAGATGGACACACCCAGTCAAAGATGGATGTACTATGTGTTATGCTGTGAGAAATAAATAGATCTCATTTCACATTAGTTTCCAACTCAGACATAACAAATTAACGACATCCTTGTGCAAGTTGTTTTCTTAATCTGTCTGGTTAGGTATTAGAAATAAATACGATTTTTTTTTGTAAACGTCTTTTATGGCTATAGACCTTTTCTTTTTAGGTTTGCATCTCCTCTCCACAAACTAGATGAAAATAATACTTCACATTTCATCCCATCATTTATGTTGTGCATGTACCTAAAATTTGGCTTACTAGCAGAGAAAGACAAAAACGTTTCACTGTCCTTCACAGAGGAAAAACTGGGCACATCCAGCTCTTCACTCAGTACCTTTTAACAAAAAACACTAGTTGGTCCAAAAGGAAAACCTGCAAATATTTACAGACATCTTTAAGAATGCTGTTGGTCTTTGATCTTTTGGTCTCTGATCTTTTGTTGCAGGGATGAGATGAATCACTCCATCATGGCTGATGGCCAATAACTGACATCTAATGTATAGGGGGCAGCAATATACAAGATGGGCACTTATCTTGAAAATAACACTTTTTAATCACAAATGCTTCATAATTCAGTGTCTTGGAAAATAAATATAAAACTCGTACTGATTTAAAAATGAATCTCTAGCTCTTCAAATCTCCTTAGAGATGTTTCTCCAATGTTGTTGTATTAGATTTATGAGAGTGATAAACAGAAGATTCCTTTTGCAGTCCGGATTTGACCTCTATAAATACAAAAACAAAAGAAAACATGTCAGTACCTTTCACATAGTAATGTATAGAATATATGTTTAAAACATACAAAGTCGATTAAATAATTAGTTATTTTAAAGGAATTCTTATTTGAAATCTTATATGATTAAAACATCATATAGATATATGATTTAAAGGGATAGTTCACCCAAAAATGAAAATTATGTCATTAATTACTCACCCTCATGTCGTTCCAAACCCGTAAGACCTGTGTTCATCTTCAAAACACAAATTAAGATATTTTGCATAGACAGCAAGGGTCCTACCACGATCAAGGCACAGAAACGTAGTAAGGACATCGTTAAAATAGTCCATGTGAGAAGAATTGTTGAATAAATTCGTAATTTTTGTTTTCTTTGCGTGCAAAAAAAGTACCCTTGCTGTCTATGCAGGGTCAGAAAGCTCTCGGATTTCATCAAAAAAAAAAAAAAAATCTTAATTTGTGTTCCAAAGATGAAAGAAGGTCTTAAGGGGTTTGGAACAACATGAGGGTAAGTAATTAATGACAGAACTTTTATTTTTGGGTGAACTATGCCTTTAAAATATTTTGGATCAGTACTTTTTTTTAGAAATACATTTATTCATCAATGACACATTAAATTGATCAAAATAGACAGTAAAGACATTTGCAGTATTATAAAAAAAAAAAAAAATAAAAAAAAATTATGGAAACAATGTAAGCAACAGAACCATTTACAACATTGAAAATAAGAAGAAATGTTTCTTGATCACCAAATCAGCATATTAGAATGATTTCTGAAGGATCATGCATTAATGGCAGCTGAAAACTCAGCTTTGCCATAACAGTAATAAATTACACTTTAAAATATACAAAAATAGAAAGCAGTTATTTAAAATGTTAATAATATTTCACAGTATTACTGTTTTCTCTTTTTTGATCAAATAAATGGTGAGCATAAGACACTTAAAAAAAACTAACCAACCCCAAACTTTTTAATGGTAGGGTAATAGTCATAGTTTTTGGTAATGCTTCAGTAGCTTACTGGCTATGCATTGCACTCGAGGCTTCTCCCACTGTCCATCAACCATGCAGCGGATCACAGGTAGGTGGCGCTGTGTGAAGTTTTCACTGCACTGGTATCTGATTATAGAATTCACCTGATAACGATCTTTCTTGTTGCCAAACATCCTGGCATTCTCCACTTTAGGAGGTTGGTCACATGTCACTGAAAGAAGAGGAAGTCCAATTGAAACTGAATCACTAGTGATACCATTTGTTTGTGTTTGGTGGTGAGCATACCTGGACCTGTTTTGCATGTGAAAGGTAGGTGATAGTTGCAGGGCACGTCATTCCATTGGCCATTTTCGTGCCAGATCATTACAACACAGTCTTCACCAGAGTTAAAATAATTGTCAGGCTGGTTAGGCCTCCAGTTCTCATATTGCTAAGGAAAGGAAGAGAAAAATCAAGCATTATACTGTAACTCAATCAAACAGCTCTATTATTAGAAATACAGCTTTTTTAGCAAGAGTCAGGCTTACCAGCGGAGTCCCATCTGACCAGCGAAAGTCACTTTCCACCGTTTTATCGTTCAGTCCAATCCACTGATAGTCTTGTGCGTATGCTGTTTCAAGAGGGTGATTGTTTGTAATCAGAAAAACAACACGGATACTTAGGAGCTTAAACACACAGACACACACTCACAGTTGATGAAGGCTTGCTCCTCTGGAGTGATAATGCTCACCAGGTGAGCGTTTAAGTCTCGACAGCGCTGCTCAGCGTCCAGCCAGGTCTCTCTCTCCGAGAAATGCAAGTAACAGTTGCCCTGAAACTTAGTCCAGCCCTCCTCACAGCTGTGCACATCTGAAGCAACATCACATGGCATATTTACCACTGTTTCACCAGATATCCTCTTAGAACACTATCGCAAGATGAATAGTCCTTGACACGGGCTTAAAGGGTTAGTTCACCCAAAAATGAAAATTTTGTCTTCTTTTATTCATCCTCATGATCCAAACCCATACACAAACGTACAGATATTTTAATGAAACCTGAGAGATTTTTGTCCCTCCATTAAAAATCTATACGTTTGACGTTTCAAAAAGTTCATAAAGACATCATAAAAGTAATCCATGTGAATCGAGCAGTTTAAATCAAGTCTCGTGAAGAGACAAAACCGCTTCATATGATGAACGGATTTAATTTGCCTTCTATTCACATATAAACATTGATCAATGCACATTCATAAAGCTCATCAAATAAGGTCAAAGGAAGCTCAACCGATGATTACAAGCCTCATTGATTCTCAGGCAGTGGAATGGACTACAAGTAGAGGCACAGAAATCTCTCAGGTTTCATTGAAAATATCTTAATTTGTGTTTAGAAGATGAACGGAAATCTTATGGGCTTGGAACAACGTGAGGGTGAGTAAATAACAGACAGAATTTTCATCTTTGGGTGAGCTATCCCTTTAATACTTGCTATACAGGCCAATAAGAAACAAATGGCAAATGTATAATGGAATGTGCTGAGGGATTTGGATAAAGTCACTTTATCTTTCAGTGTTTAAAACCAGTGTTTTAAGTAAGCGACAAATGCCTTTAACGTGGCATAATATCAGCTTATCAGATAAAGTGATTTTCCACAATCGTGTAAAAGTATTCCAGAAGACCGACGATTAAATTCCATATATTACGCCAAGAGAAACATCCAGCAGAAAATGAACAAATAAGATATTTCTAGTCACTGCTCAGATGGAAAATATGAACTGGACACGTTCTGTTTACTAAATGGTTATACTTTCTTCTTGCTATATTTTTGCAGTAACTGCAAATGCATCATTGCATCCTGAATGAGGCTGATGTTTAACTGCAACAGATTTCCATAAATGGACAGGCAAAACTCTCTCTCACACACACAGGAAAAAAAAACCCTCACCAATCCCTACTCGACACACAAATACGTTTCCGGGGACTTTCATTCCACTACAGCAACATCTAGAGCTGTGTGTCACCTTAAGGTTGTTTTTGAAAGACCGTTAGTAGAATTAGTTGAAGCAGCCTCATACCAATCTCACAGCGGTCTCCTTCGTAGCTGGGCAGACATAAGCATTTGAAAGTGTCCTCCACCTCCACACAGGTGGCTCCATTGGCGCAAGGGTTTGAATGGCAAACATCAACCTCTGCAAATAAACGTTTAGCGATTAAAGCTGACTACTATGAAGATGCCCTGAGGAAGGCCAAGCTTGGCAGAGAGCACCACTGAATCAGAACTCTTGGAGCTGCTTCTAAACGAATCTCTTGCATAATTATACCATCAATATTTTGATAAGCTGAGAAGAGACACTCAGTAAATTGTGGTAAATTGAAGGAGAGATCAGAGTCAGTTGCAGTTGCTGTAAGAGCGCTGACCTGGGATCAGTTTTTAGCTTCTCATGAGGTGAGCAGATCAGCACTCTTACAGTCCCAGAAACAGAAGCAGAGTTCAGATTCATTTGAAGATGGACGAGAAGTATGAGCATATACCAGGTGTTAGCAGGCGTGCTGATTAAACCAGACTGCAGCAAAGGCACAGCTGAACAAAAACAACACAGGTGAACAGTCACTGAAAAGACATCTGGACACAAGAGCTGAGTAAGTCAAGAAGTACTTAACCACACACACATGCCGCATAACCTGTAAAATGGACTGTGAGGACATTAATCAGGCAAGAGCAAACTGAACAGAAGTTATTCACAAATAAAATGCAAAACAGTGAGACACTTAGAGACAATCATTTGATTAATTTGAACCCAAATATAAGCCTAAAAATGCAACAACAGCTGTTAAAGGCAAACAGGATGGCTGTTCATAAGAATGTTTATCAAAATGTCCAATATTCAAAATACAACATTTTAAAAAGTAACCATAATTTATGTGACTGATTCAATAACTGAGTCAATTCAGTCTGACTCACCAATCTGGCACTCTTCTCCATGCAGTCCAGGTGGGCAGCGACAAATGCCCACCCCATCCTTCACCGAACACACCCCAGCTCCACAAGGGTTTGGTTCACATGGGTTAAGAGAAGCTATTATGGTTTTGAGAAAGAAAGAGAGCAACACATGATGAAAAAAAAAACATGATAAAAAGGAGCAGGGGTTTTTTTTCTCAAGAGGTGAGAAGAAATAGATTTCTATATTATGATCCGCCAATGAGCCAAACATTATTTTCACGCTATGGATGATAACAATAAATAGGCAATATAAAAATTGTATAGACGACACATTAAAAAAATCATTAATACTGGCCAGTAATGGATAAGGAACTGATATGTCATGTATCTCTGTTCTATATTCTAACCAATTTTACGCAAAAGGGATCTCACCATTCACAACAAGTCCTTCCATGACAGAAGGGCTCTGTAAAGAAGTAGGTTCTGTGGTAGAAGACAAAGCTGCAGAAGTAACAGTGTCAAGTTTACTCGTGATTCCCTCTGGTTCTGACAATGGAGGCAATGGAGGTCCTGAAGCATCACTGTACAGGCCAGATGGCCCTTGAGCAGATAGTACATCTGAGGGAGCATCACTGGAGTTCACTGTTGGCGTATCTTTAGTAACTGGGATCCATTCATGTTCTTGTCCACTAGCAAAGGCACTTTGGTCGTCTCCACTCCCTGAGGACAACCTGACGGTGCCACTGTACTCCACCTCCCCCCTTCCTAGCTCCATGCCTTGGAAGGGCTTGTTGGACATTTCCACCATGCCATTATTGGAGAAGAAGATATCACCGCTAGCTGATTCCCCTGATCTTTCCCCTGATTCAATGGCATAGCCTCCAGATGTAAATACACTTCCCTCACCAGACCCAAACAGCAAAAGTCCAGACACTTCCTGCTCACGAGGTTGTTCTGTGAGATCAATGAAGCCCGATCCCAAAAATGTCAGACCAGAAAACTCTAAACCACTCCCAGAGCCACTGTGGACACCGCTAACTTCAGATATATCACCACTCATGCCAGAGATATCACCACTCATCCCAGAGACATCAATGCTCATCCCAGACCCTGAGATATGTCCTGATCCGCTGAAATCCACATGGTTTTCACCCAGCTCTTGTTCTGTTAAATGTGGAGCAGTGAACACCTTCACCCAAGGGCTATCCACCATGATGTCACCACTGCCATCGATGAATGAAATGCCACTGGATCCTCCAGAGGGAAAAATTCCTGATGGGAAACCGCTGAATCCTGAGGACTCCTTGCTAGAACCTGATCCTGAGAAGATGCCAGAAAGGTCTCCACTCTCGTTACTTTCTCCTGAGCTGCTGGAAAAGTCTGAGGTAGATCCACTCTCTTCAGAGCTATACCCTGACCCACTTCCTGATCCTGATCCAGAGGTGTCCAATCCGAAGAGGCCTGAGCCCTGGCCAAAGGGAAAGGTCAGGAACTCTGTGCCTGCCTCTCCAGCCTCCTCGGGTCTTCCTGAAGCTGATCCAACACCTGATAAAACGGAGTCACTTCCTGAAAAGGTCACTAGGATATCTAAGCCACTGCCAGATCCTGAAGAACCTAAAGACCCGCTTGGCAGATCCCCACTCCCACTGGCCCCAGAGGAGTCTCCACTTGACACAAATGACCCACTTGGCTGATCCCCGCTCCCACTGTCCAACAGTTTGTTGTTGCCACTGGCCCCAGAAGAGTCTCCACTTGAAACAAATGACCCACTCGGCTGATCCCCGCTTCCACTGCTCAACAGATCATCAGTGCCACTGATTCCAGAAGAGTCTCCACTCGACACAAATGACCCACTCAGTTGGTCCTCGCTTCCACTGCCCGACAGACTGTCAATGCCACTGGCCCCAGAAGAGTCCCCACTTGAAACAGGTGACCCACTCGGCTGATCCCCACTTCCACTGCTCAACAGATCATCGGTGCCACTAGCCCCAGCAGAGTCTCCACTTGAAGCAGGTGACCCACTTGGCTGATCCCCGCTCCCACTGCTCAACTGATCATCAGTGCCACTGGCCCCAGATGCGCCAGATCCAGAGGGTTCCGCAGGGATAGTAGTAAGAGTAGCTCCTTCTGAGGAAACACAGATACACCCAGAATCTAAGGTACTGCACCAAAATTAACACTAATCATGACATGCATTAAAATACATGGGATAGTTCCATTAAAGGGATAGTTCACTCAAAAATGAAAAACATATGATATGATAACATAATTTTCATTGTTGGGTGATCCATCCCTTTAAACACATTTTCACTCCGGTTTTTAATTATTTCTGATTATTTTTTAATTTGAAGGAGGGTGGGTGGAGTCAAAAAACAGAGATGAAAAAACATGCAGAAAATGTGATCAATCCGGAAATGAGAGGACCTTTGCAGACCCTCATCAAAGTTCAGTGAGAGTTTATTGATCAGACAATTTGACTTTAATTTCACTTCTTATGGTAAGCCAATGCTAAGTCAAGTTGTAAAATGTCACAGACTGTGATGCCTCTCAACCTAATAATATTTATGAATTACTGCAATATATTAAATATAACAAAATATATTTGAGCATTTTTTTACATAATTATTCAGATGTATGATTTATGCATATTTTTTATCTTTATTGTCACTGACTCGTATATGTATCCTGAGCTACAGTATATTACCAGGTTTGAGAAGAGCAGGGAGGGATGTCACGCTCACTATCTTTTCCTCTGTCACCGTCATATTTGTTTCACTTTCATTCAGAGACAGATCCAGATCCACTATATGTATAAAAAATGACAAATATGTAAAGAATAATGTATGTTGTATAAACACTCAACAGACATGTTTTACATTTACAAGAATCTAGAATTTATGACCTGTATATAACTACACTGTAGATGTATTTACCCTTGATGCAGAATGCATCAAATTTGGAGTGCAGGTCATGAGAGCCAGTCTGGTTGGGAAACTTGTAAACTGTGTGAATTCCAGCCTTCCCTCCACCACACTGCTGCCGCGGGTTATTGATGGAGTAACGTACACTGCGGTCAAGAAGCCAGCCAGCACGGCACTTATCAAAGCCCTGCTTCCAAGCGGCATACAGGTCTCCTGTGGAGGCCAGGGAGGCATGCTTGCCCAGGCAGTAAGCCACTGCCTCACCATAAGTGAATCCCTCGAATGAACTTGCATGGAAAACTTCCCCTGGAAATGTGAACACACAGTGATTTGGAATAATTTTTTTCCAAGGAGAGAATCCAGCTTTTTAAATTTTTGTTTTGTTTTGTTTCACTCTCAGAAATTTAAAATGGAAGTAATTTATATTTATTTACCTACCCTATTTCCACTCAACAGTTTTTATGTATTTATGTACAGCCTCTTACCCCGTAATTTGTCCACATAGCAGTACACATCATAGCGTTCATCAGCAGAACGCAGTCCATAAGACCTCACACCAGGAACATGCTCCAAATCACCAGAGCATTTCTCACGTGGAGACACAATGGGATACCTGCATAAAAATAATTTACATACATATGTGACCCTGGAGCACAAAAGCAGTCATAAGTAGCACTGGTATATTTGTAGCAATAGCCAACAATACATTGTATGGGTCAAAATGATTGATTTTTCTTTTATGCCAAAAATCATTAGAATATTAAGTAAAGATCATGTTCCATGAAGATATTTTGTAAATATCCTACCGTAAATATATCAAAACTTAATTTTTGACTAGTAATATGCATTGCTAAGAACTTCATTTGGACAACTTTAAAGGCGATTTTCTCAATATTTAGAGTTTTTTGCACCCTCAGATTCCAGATTTTCAAATAGTTGTATCTCGGCCAAATATTGTCCTATCCAAACAAACATACATCAATTTCAGATGATGTATAAATCTCGAATTTCTAAAATTGACCCTTATGACTGGTTTTGTGGTCCAGGGTCACATATATTCAGTATGAGGCAGATAATTCCACTAGAAGCATTTGTCATCAACCCTGCCACAAATATTTTGCTTTACACTTATAAGTTTATATATGTTAAATATATAATTAAAACATTATAATTTATAACTTTATTATAATATAAAGTGAAGGTGTCCACTGCCCCACATTTAACAGAACAACATTATAACTTTATTAAATAGAAATAAAAATAGACACACAAACAATTTAAAGAAAATTGAACCGTTCACCACATGTTACAATTGTGCAGTGAATCGTACCTAACAGTCTGATCTAACAGCCAGCCAGCGTCACATTGATGGTAACCAGACTCATAGGCTGCCTGCAGTTGCTGGGCACTGGCAATGACTGCACCGATGCTCTGACATGCCAGTTGAGCCTCGACAAAGTCAAAAGCATAACGACCGGAGCTTGCACGATAATGGAAGGCCACCCCTGCGGAGGGAATTAATAACAATGGGTGTCAACAGATTTATCTAAGTTACATAGGTTTATAAAACTGAAACAATTGTCTTTTTGTAATAAATTTTTTTTTATCTAGTGCAAGATTCTTACATGCTATTTAAATTGTCTTCAGAAATTAAAAATCTAGTTTGTAATACGTTATTTTGATATTTCTAAAAGTTTTAGAGTAAGCTGTTACTCCAGTTTAATATACTCATTTGCATTCAGTCTAATTCAGCATCTAGACATTTGTTCACTGTGGTTGCGATATAAATACGTTGACACTGATGACAATATATAACATGCATCTTCATGATTTATCTTGGAAGAGGAACAGGAACAGTGTAACCCTCATAAACTTTATTGGTTTTTGTATGTGTTGTTGGCATGATAAATTTGATTATGCAAATACTATAAGGTGAACAGAAGCCACCGTGAATGAGATACATAAGGTGGTACAGAGGAATAAATAAGAATTTATACACATAGAATCAATATTAACTGTAAATTATGGTGGTTTGCAGTCAATACATACGTATGTCAAATCACAGAGAACAACAGAATAATGCTTCACATTCATTTTTACTGTATTGCTCTCATATTGATACATACCTGTGGTGGACATGATAGCTTCGGTTTCATTCAAACGGGATAAATCAGAGGCAAGATCAGTCCCATCAGTGACCCCTTCCACAGTGTCCACAGAGCTGGGGGGTGGTGAAAGGGGCAGCTGGGAAATATTTAGTGCAGTATATGGGAACTCGACACCAGTGGTCACTGATGGCTTGTATGTTACAACTTTTCCCTGCAGTTCACTTTCTGGGGAGGTGGGCTTTAAAAAGACCTGGGGGCGTTCTGTGATTGTGTCCACGCTCAGGACATCACTGCCGGCTTCGGTGGTTGTCTCTATGTCGAATGGCAATAGGCCAGAACCTTCCTCAGCCGTTTCTAAATTAAAATATATGAACAATATACACCTGTCAGTACCTAATCAATTAGCACCAGCTATTAAACACACATTATTGTGGATCAACAAGGATAAAACAATCAAATAACACATATGTATGTGGATAAACAATCATAAATGATAAAGAAGGAATAGCTATATAACAGAGAATTTTGTACCAGAGTAGCAAAATGCATCATAGCGGGAGTCTGAGAGAGGGTAGCCAGTCTGATTGGGAAACAGATAGACGGTACGCACTCCTAGCAGGCCACCCCCACACTGCGATCGGGCGATGTTGATGGGGTAGCGGACGCTCCGGTCTGCCAGCCAGCCTGCATTACAAACATCCATACCACCCTTCCATGCCAGGTACAGCTGTCCTGTGGTGGCCAACTTGGCACCCAGCTTTGCACACTCAGCTTCTGCCTCCTCAAAAGTGAATTTGTTAGGGGAAGTAGTGTGGAACACTTTTCCTGTGAGATGAAATGGAACGTTTTTTAGCATTTCAATGTTCTTCAAAGAAGGCATTTTGCTCTCTGCCATCTCAAACAAGTACCTGTCATTTTCTCAGCAAAGCAGTACACGTCATACGTCTCATTCACGTCTCTTACTCCATATGTCCTCACTCCTGGAAACTCGTACTTGTCTCCATAACAAGCCTCACGGGGATCATGAATAGGGTACCTTCATTCCACAACAAATGACAATACTTCCATCACATTTTCGAACAAAACTATAGAACATTAACTAAATATACATTACAATTTTTTGTAACGTTTTCGGAAAAAAAGCTACAGTAAACCCGTTAACCTCTTAACACGCAAAGATTGTGTACCACATTCACATCATTTTTTATACATTTAAAAAATACAGTATATTCTTAATATTTTTGTTTTTATGTTTGAGCTTATATATCTTCATATTCATAACAGTCTGAGTAATTCTGAGTCTTAAACAGTAAACTTTCAAGTGTCAGCTTTGTGAACATATGTTGATTATGTATCTAGTCAGAAAGACTTATGAGCAGCAACCTTTTTATTTTGGGTATGTTATTTATGTCCCCATGCCAAAACTGGGGGGGGGCGTTTGAGAAGGGGTTAACTGGTAACTGCAAGTTAACTACTATACTATGATGAAAAACTGTAAATGGTTTCTTCTTATTTTTGTTGTTTGTGTAAATTAAGGCTTTTTCACACCAAGGACGATAACTATAAAGATAACGATAAAGATAGTTCTAAAAATCGTTCTCAATATTACAGATACAGAGAAACGATTTTGTTGGAATCACTTTCAGTACGTTTTTTTTTTCAGCTGATGAACAATAAAACATTGACAGCCAATCAGAATCAATTCTGCTATAATGAGCTCGAGAATTGAAAGAGGCAGACAAATTGCACTTAAATAAACAGACGGTATTGTCCGCTGGTGTGGACGCTAATATAGTTTTCTTATAGTCTTTATAGTTATCGTTCTTGGTGTGAACAGGCCTTTAGGGTGTTTTGTGTTATATTTTCTGTTATCTAGCTAATGTTTATTTTAGTCATGTGTTTGTCCTGTGCATCATTTACATACAAGCATTGACCATGTTTTACGGACAGGACATTTACCATGAACTCTTATTCATCATGTGGCTTTTTATTGAACTACCTCTGTTATTATCTGTACATTTTAAGGATTTCAAGTAGACTGATATATTCACATTACATCATTTAGTGATATGCAGAAGTTGTAAAATATACATTCACCAATATGCCATCCAGTAACACCCGAAACATTTTCAGTGTATTTTTTTTACGGTGAGTTTCTGGACACCACAGCTGCCATTTTTACTATAAATTTAACAGCTTTTTTTACACTGAAGGTAACTGACCTGACGGTCTGATCTGCAAGCCAGCCAGCATCACACTGGTGGAAACCCTCATCAAAAGCTGCTTGGAGTTGCTCTGGAGTAGCAATCACTGCACTGTTTTGAATACAGGCTGCCTTGGCCTTCTCAAAGGTAAGGGTATATCGTGTGGTGATGGCACGATAGTGGAAAACAATACCTAAGCAAAATAAAAGTACATCGATGTCACATTTCTGAGAGAAAAAAGCACACAGATACAGTCATAAAGTAATATTTTCTTTAGGGATCTTCACACAAACACTACCTTGAACTTGAACATCAACAACATCATAACCGTCCTCTATCCCATGCATGACCTCACAGCGGTACACTCCCGAGTCATTGGAATGGAGCTCAGTGATCTTAATGGAGGCGTCTGTGGGTGTCATGGGGTATCCAACCATGGTGATCCTATCCAGATACCTTTTGTCGATGCTTACTACTCCTTCAGATGCCGCTAAAATGTTTGTGGTCTTTTCTTTGGTGACCAGACTCCATTTGATCCGGTGAGACAAAGGGGCAATGGTGGGGGCACCAGGGTCATTGACTGTGTTGTCCTGGAAGTAGCAGGGCAGCACTAATGTGTCACCCATCAAAGGTCGGAGAGGAAGCTCATTGGGTATGCTGACACTCAGTGTGCTTTCAGGCTCTGTGATAACATGTACAGGTTAATGAGGTTTTCAAGAATACTAGCAATTTCAATATGTAATTTACACAACGAATACGCACCATTGTAAACGTAATCAAAAGACGCTGTGGCTGAGAAGACCCAGAAACACATACTCCGCAAAAGCAAGGACAGCATCGTTCCCCTACAGGTTTAAAAGAATGTTAACTTATGACCATCACATTTGCACATATATTCAGCAACAACGTCTCAGGTTACTTATGTAACAATGGTTCCCTGAGTAGGGAACGAGACACTGCGTCCTCTAGGTTACCCATAGCGACCCCTAGAGGACGCAGTTCGAAGTTCCCATGAAAGGGAACTATGATATGCTCAGTTTTTAATATCCATTAGAAGGCAACTTACTGTACACACTGTGCTTTGCTCAAAAGATTTTATTCTGACAGCATATACTATATCAGATGGACCAAATGTGGTTTTCCAAGTTCATAACAAAGGTTTGGTAAAATAAGAGGTTTTTGAGAGAGAAAACCAACATGTAATTTTCAGTTCCCAAAATTACCACAGCAACAGTACAGTTCTCGTGCCAATACAAGCTGGTCATGTCTGTACCGGGCGGTTTGGGAATTAACTTACCGTTAATTACTGAATGTCTGCCATGCATGGATAGAGAGAGATATGCTGTTCTTCTAGTTTACAGAGTTTTGGGGAAAATAATTGATAAGGTTCGCCCTTACTTAACAAACATACAACATTTAAAAATCTTTGCCAGTGTTGGCTCGCTTTTAGGGGTGACGCTATATTTATTTGACTTGCTGCAAAGCATTCAACAGTGCTTCCTATACATAGACTTATCTACACATAGTGCTAGAGCAGAGAGCCACTTATTCATAGCTAGTTAAACTGGAGCTTTTTATACACTATTCCATATTGAGTTTGTCCTCACCCACCTCTCCTTCTAGTCCAATCCAAATCTAATCTTGTAAAGCAAACAACATTAAAAAAATCTGAGAAAGTGAGCGTGCATGCTTACACTCTGTGACCAACAAGCCATTTTTAATGTATGAGGTCCCTCAAATTACTATAGCAAAACAAATTATGTTAAATCTATTTAGAAGTATTATGTCATTTTATAAAAAGCACAGAAAAAAAACAATTAAGCTATTTGGAAAATGTGTGCAGTGTTTTGTTAAAGTGTTCTGGACTGTGTTTAGAGAATGCACAAAGGAAAAAGACAGATAAGATAAAATCAGTTGCCAAAGTTGGTTTCATGGGAAAAGGGCTTAATGGCTTATGTGTTGGTCTTAATTTTTTTCCTTTTAAGTCCTTCTTAAAGTGCAGTGTTTGTCCCAGTTAAAGCTTAAATGGAAATCATTCAAGATTTAGAAGGTCATAGAAAGATAAAAGACTGATGAAAATATTAATCATTGCTCAAACGTGAAACATTAAAAGCTGTGTGTTCCTGTCAAACTCAGCTAGCGACACATAAAACAGGGATTAAAAAACAACATTATTCCTACAATGAGTGTACTGTAAATCACAGATAGTTTGAGTTAAATGACAGAATCATTTACTGTTGCAACAGTTAATCTCAGTATAATCCCCACAGAGAGAAATATGCTCAAATTAATTTTAAGCAATTCTTAGACAACATGTGCCACCATGTGGATGTCAAAGGGTCAACAACAAAACTGTAATTTAGGGTCTTGCCATTATAAGTCCAACATAATAACCTAGTTCGTAAAGTAAATAAAATTATATATTAACCCACTTGGAAAAATGCTCTCATGGATCAATTAATCCTGCTTAAGTATACGGTAAGTGACATGAACAAACCAAGCTGTCACTACAGTGTGCATTATTTCTATATGCCTGGTCACGTACAGTTTGTGAGCACGCAACAAACACTACATACAATAGGTTGAAACAAGTACATTTAGATGCATTTCATTGAAGATAATGTCATATAGCCATTTTACATAGCCAGCAACATTTAATATGTTAAAAAACACATGTTAAAAAGGGCTTAGGACATAAAGTTTCATCTGCAATATCACCTTCAGCAGATACTTTATAGCATCACAGCATACGAAAGAAAAACGTTTAAGTGGGCATCCCTGTATAGGCGCAAGAACTCTCTCAGGAAAAGAAAAGGTACAAAGCTATCACTGGGACTGTACCCTACAAAAGCTAAAACGTACATATTTGTGCCTTATTTACCACCAAATTATATTAGTACCTTTTTAAAGGGTACCTAGTGACAGTTTTTCTCAGAGTGAAGTGTATTGACAAGTTATTTGTCACTTTAGGTCAGGAAGGTTGCATATCAACATCAGCATCTTAACAAGACATTCAAATATAAATTGTGTTTCTCTGTAATAATCAAATATAACTATATGACATGGTAGAGCAACAAAATTAACTTCAATGCAATTTAAGCTAAGACAAAAGTATCTGAAATAAGTCCTATTGCAAAACCACCTTCAGTCATGATTCAAAACATAACGTTGCTGGTAAATAAGTTATTTTTCACATTTATTATGATTATTCATTAGGCTATATCAATGCTCCAAATGCTCAAATTTCCAAATGCTCAAATCTGATTTACTGTCACTCTGTTAGACATTTTAGTGTTTAATATCAGCACATATCAGAGAATGACTGAAGGTTCACAACTTTCAACTTGAAATCTCACATTACTTCAACAATTAAATCGACCCTGAGCATTTGAATTCGTGTAATTGAGCCAGAGATGCTGTGACAGTGCTCACCTGTACAGCTAGCGAAACCACAACATAAAGCCAAACTGTACATCACCTGTATGATGCAGTGTCCCTCTGAAACTCTTATATTCCTTGATTGCAGATGCTTTCCAGCTCTCTGATGGCACGCGTCTCTCTCAATCCAAACCCGTAATAAAAGTGTCGCGTGTGCAGTAAAATTCAGAGGCGCTTCTGGCAGAAGATTGAGAAGCAGAAAGAAACTCTGCTCACAGGGGAAATACTTTAACTGAACAGGAGCTGAAAAGGGGGCTAGGGAATGAGGGGTGGAGTGAAGGCGCACATAAAATTTCCTCGCATGATGTAATTTGGCTATAGGCTACACAGAGCCTCCGGCACTTTTGTAGCTAACATGCGCAAATCCTGACGATATTTATGTCAACGGTCCTCTTGATCCGTTTTGAGCCATAATAGCTACATCATCGGACGGAACAAAGACGGCCTTTTTGCTAATATAGCTATTTACATGATGTCAAATTCCTTTTTGAATAATGCAATGCTATATTGGTTTGGTTGAAACACCTATTCAAAACCCAATTAAATTAGAATAATTTCTAAGAATTTTGTCCTTCGAATTAAAACTCTAAATGCATCATATTTTTCCTTAAAAAATAAATTAGCAAATTAATAAAACGACACTGGCATTAGTGTAGCAACTCCAGTTCACTTACATATTGCATTCAAGGTAGGCTATTCATTTTATGAAATTACAAAAGCTAAAAGGTACATCTTTGTACTTTATTTACACCTATAGCCTACATATTAGCTTTTCACTTCACATGAGGTTAACTAATGGACTTGAGTCGTGTGGACTACTTAGGCTATTGTGATTTATCAGCTGTTTGAACTCTTATTTTGACGGCACCCATTCACTGCAGTGGATCCATTGCAAGTGATGTAATGTTAAATTTGTCCAAATCCGTTCTAATATATAGACAAACTCATCTACATCTCGGATGGCCTGAGGATGAGTAAATCTACACATTTTCACACATTTTCATTCTATTCTGTTAAGCTACAGATATGCTGTTTAATGTTATTCATTTTGTCCTGGCCCATTACAGGTAGAAATGTCGTTTTTCCAGCCTAGAATATTCACTGGAGTAAAGTGTGACACCAGCCCTGTACACATTTTATTATAAATCAGTGATTTATTTCAAGATTTGTTTCCTATTTTCTCAGTTTCCCAAAATCCCATGTGCTGCTTTCAAATATTGTGCTTCTTGGTCACAAACATCCATCATATTAATTAGTCTTCTGGAGCAGCAACATTAACACGGGTGGAAAGCAGAGACACAAGGCTTCATTCAGCAGCCTGGCCCACCCCGTTGTTCCTCTCAAACTTTCCTCTCAAAGGAACATGACAACGTATCACATTGAATAGAGCCACTATTTGAGAACCTTGTAATGTCTCACAAGACATAAGAATACAGAGTACCCAATAAAGTACGCTGTGTGCTTTGTGTCAAAGTTTAGGGGGGGAAAAGCTGCAGCATGACATTTAAGATCTAATTTTTATTTATTCCTGAAGGTGTTTAATTTGAGACTTACATGCTAATATAAAAACTTAAATCTCACCTTCTCCTAGACTATCCATCTCTCCATCATTAGCATACCGATTACACAGCAGAGCTACAGAGAGATCCAATCATGAGCTGGCGTTTAAACTCAGTTGAGGTTTAGCTGGGAGGGACATTCTCTGTTTCTTTTGGATGGTGATTAAAAACGGTAACTGAACTGCTTGGAATGGACTTCAAAGAGGAGGTTCCTACTGTGAATTTGTGTGAGTGCTTTGTCCTCTTTGCTTTTATTCTGCAGTTTGTGTGTATGAAATGAGATACAAAGGCATGTTTGAAATTTGCCCTGGTTTGTTAACCTGCTCAGGTTAACCTATGTCCCTTGACACCTTTAAAGAGACACATTACCTTAAATCCCCCTCAACATACTAAATATATCTTCTAACTTCCAGAAAGCAATGTGTTTAAAGGGGTCATATGATGTGATTTCAAGTTTTCCTTTCTCTTTGGAGTGTTACAAGCTCTTGGTACACCTAAAATGGCTCGTTCTAACACGCCCCCACATGTCTACGTCACTATGTGGAAATATTAGCATAATGCCGCCCAAATGTGCACGCAAAGAAAGAAGGCGTGGTTTCAGGAACAGCAGTCCTGTTGATAAAGCCATGTCAGGGAGACAAAAAGTGCAAAAGCACTTTATTTGGCCTTCCGGGAGTAGATGCAATTAGGAATCATTGGTTAAGATTTATTTACAACAGAACAGCACAACCCAGATGTTCGAATTTGTGCAACGCATTTTATGGACGACAGTTTTTTGAACCTAGAAGAGTACAAGGCTGGCTGTGCACAAAGGCTATAAAAAAATTTTTAAAAAAAGGGTAAATTCCGACTTTGCTATGACAATCTAGCGCTTCTGTGGCTTGTGTACTGCATCATCACTGTGTCTGTCACACGACTCTGTTGCCCTTTCGGCTTGAGCTGATGGTAAAACTAACGACATTATTAACTGTCTTGATATTTACTTTGAAAGCTGACGCTCGCGATTATGGTAAGGGGCGTTACATTTACGACGTGTGCTTGTGGTGTTCGGCCAATCACAATGCACTGGGTCAGCTGGCCAATCAGAGCAGACTGCGCTTGTCAAAGGAGGGGGCTTTGTTGAAAACGATGTGTTTGAGAGAGGCGGGGCATAGAGGACCTACAATAATGTACAGTATTTGAAAAATAATGTGTTTTTTGAACATTAAAGCATGTCAACATAATCTGTTGCACCAAATACACAAAATAATGATCTTTAAAATAGCATCATATGACCCCTTTAAATTAAAATCTTAAACAGAATATTAAAAAAGTAAATTCAATCAAATTATTATTACACAGAAGTTCGCTCTGATATAGTATATGGCTGTGCTTCAGAAGAGTTTGAGTAGACAAGCAATGAAGGTATAAAAAGTATTGCAAGCTTAGGGACAGCATATTCATCAGATTTTAAGCAATCAAGCTGACGTTTGGTGATTGACGTTGACAACACGCACAGTTCCAAGTGAAGCCTTCGGGGACCTGTGGACATTTCGCTGTCCTGAAGGGCTCTTTTCATCAAAAAGGCCAAACTATTGAAAGACATCAGGCGTTCTCCTCACTGACAATCTTGTTTCTATAAAGGAAGAGAAAACTCAGGTCTCTGGAGAGATACAAAAGCTTCTTCGCAAGCCTGTGTGAGGAAACAGAATTCCTCAGGGCAGTTGTCACTCCAGGTGCTTTCTGTCATTCTGTGTGGTGCCACTGGACTGTTTTCCCTACTACCTACCGAGAAGAGTGTAAGGTACTGCCTCACCTCCAATCTAGAAAGACATTATGGACCTTTGAATTTTACTGGTGCAGTTATACGTTATGCTTACTGATTCCACGAAATTGATTTTTTTTAAATATATATATATACATTTGACTCAAGTTTGAATCTGACATAGACGAATGACTGAATTAGTTTTGTGGAGTTTTTGCTACTGCTATATCTAACATAATTTGACCCAAGATGTTTTGCACTCAGTGGCTCCCTGCTGTCTGGAAATAGGCTTTCTTTCTCAGGGAGCGCCTTCACATGGTATTTTTGGACAGCACAGAACATATTTATTTTCCAACTGGAACTGAACAGGGCATTGTACGCCATAGGTTTCTAGAGCACCGTGTAAGTCCCAGAGCTGAGGAGAAGGACGCCAGCTCTCTCTCAATAGTGTCCATTTACACCCCTCACTTGCCTCATTAAATCTGTTAATTGTCACTGTTTTGTGCATCACACACAGATTTACTGTTATGAAAATACTCCTTTAAATATTATAGACAACAATATGTACATCCTTTAGAAGATGCAAATCATATGATTAGCTTATTTAATTGCATCCAACAAGCCTTAACAGAATTCTAATAATTGTATATGTAAATATTTTATTATTTGTAAAATTACTGAATGATTTCCAGAAAAAAGTTAATTTAAATGCAATCCAAAAAATTCAATTAAATATTAATTATGAGATAATGAAAAAGTAATCATATAAATTTACAATTCATAATTTTAAAAAGATTCATAGATTTTTTTTATAAGAGATTTCCCCATCATAATGCAAACAGAATTCCTGAAATTCTGAACTGGATCGCTGTTATCCACTACCCACCATCCACCATACCTTTTAAAGGATAGATTTCACGAATTGAAATGGTCTTTGCATGAATTCACCCCACTCCACACGTCCCATAAGGAATTTAGAGCAGACTCAGTTCCTATGCAAGCATGTGTGTTTGCTTAAGTGTGTGAACGTTTGAGGGGAGACGTAGAATAGTATTTCCTTATCCACAGGAACAGACCTGACATTATTCTTCTAGTTCAACAGCTGATTAAAGCCTCTATCCACAGCTGAGATCATCGCTATAGTGTGTTTCACATACCTATACATTTCAACCCATCTCACCAGCTACTGTTTGTTTATTAAATCACATTTATGGAATATTACTTATTTTATGAAAGGAAATAAAAACTGGAAAACTTGTAAGTTTACCACTTCATGTTTTTTTTTTCATGTACGGTGCACTCTTGCATTTGAAAGTGCAACTGTGGACAACAAGAATGCTCTAACGATTCTGCACAAAGTCTGCATCAGGAAAGAAAGAAAGATTTAAAAAATACAAACACCTTTTACGGTTAAAAGAACAGTGCTGGCTTTAGTTCACCGTTGCTGCATATACAGCATTTGTTTTGATTATGACTTGAGGACATTCCGTGAATTTTGTTCCTTCAAATAAAAATTTGCTCTAAATGAAAACCCATGAGACAGACTGATAACAAGACGTGTGGTTGTTATATATATATATAATATATATATATAACATATATATATATTATATATATCCATCACTTCTTTGTAGTTACATGATAACCAATTTTTCCTGATATAGGTAATGTTTCACAGCATTGACTTAATTTGGCTTTTTTCGCCTGTGAGTAACAGAAAAAGACCATGTAAAAATGAAAACGATGGTCTGATGTACAATAATTATGAATATAAATTCCAATATAATTGCTTTGGTTTTAGAAGTTACAAAAATGGTTCACCATGAAATCACTTCTTTAATTCAACTGATTATATGCACCGTTATCTAGAAAGTCCTGGCGAGTCATTACTGGAAAATAAACACTACAAGCAATGAATTGAAAAGCATAAAATGGGTGATGCATATATAAAGATACATGAAGCCATTGAATATCATA